GACAGATCTCAAGACATCAGAAAATTTGCAAGGTAAGTCGTTTCGTCAGTGTTTGGTGCTAAAAGGATTTTCTTCTTTTGGATCAGTTTAACCTCTTTTACTTTTCATTCACTCTCACCGGGCACTTACAGTCCAGTTTGAAACAGGTCATTCAATTTAATGAGTTATCGATTTTCTTTGGACAAAAACGTCAAAAAGCGTTTCCTTAATGAGGTCTACGCTCTATAAACGATTAATTATACCAGAAAAAATGATCATTAAGACCGCAATTGTTTTACGTTAAACGTTACTGACTTTTACCACTGAGACTTTACTTACTAACTTTATCCCCCCTGATTTGTGCTCTGTGTTAATATCGGATCGAATTTGTCCAAGACGTATTTTTGTGAGGTTCATTTTTCGACTAGGTACGTGGACAGGTGGGGAAATCAACTTGTTTGGATGCAATGTACCACCAATCGTCTTTTTTTGTAACAAAGGAAGGTATACAAGAAGATGTTCGGTCTCACGTATCCGTATATTCGTTCCCACCAAATCTTGTACAAATATCAGTTTGAACTCAGGAAAGGATATTCCACTGAACAAGCTACTCTTAAAATTACTGACAATCTGAAGCTAGCCACTGATAAAGGTCAAATAACATGTGGTTTATTTCTAGACCTGTCAAAGTCATTTGACACAGTAAATCATAAAATACTGCTCTCTAAACCATATCTATATGGAATTCGGGGTACACTACATAATTGGTTTGAAAGTTATTTGCACAATTGAAGACAATAGGTTAAAATTGACTCTACTAAATCTAGCTATGAAAATAGTACCTGCGGTATACCCCAAGGCTCGACTCTAGGTCCTCTTTTACTTTTGCTCTATGTGAACGACTTACCAAACTGAGTCGACAAACTTTCGGTGCGGAGCTTTGCTGGTGACATCAATTTATTTTACTCTAGCGACAACTTAAAACAGCTTGAATCCGTAATGAATCGAGAGCTTACACAAATTTATGACTACCGTGCTCTAAATAAGTTATCTATTAACACTGCAACGACCAACTATATGTTAGTGTCATCATCTAGATGCTACCCAAAGATAAATATCACTGGTATTGAACAGAAAGATTACATAAAGTACTTGGGAGTTTATATAGATAAACATCTCAATTGGCAACCACACATACAACATGTAAATAATAAATTTGCTAAAAATTTAGGAATCCTTTCAAAACTAAGATATTGCATAGATCTGAATGTACTCAAACAAATTTATTATGCTTTAATATATCCCTATTTGAGTTACGGGATTCTTGCTTTGGGATGTGCCAGCAAAACCAGATCAGATTGTCTTTGTATTAAGCATAACAAATGTCTCCGCACCATCTTCTTTGTACATCCTAGAGAGAGTGCTGCTCCCTATTTCAAACTCCTAACAATCCTTAAATTATATAACATATATAAATTAAAAATATACTGCCTTACACATAGAATGAGAAATGAAACTGACAGCATTCCAGATATTTCCTTGATGTCCTGACTCCAGCATTGCGTATACACAATCATAAGATTTGTCAGTAACCTGAATTATTTTAGGCCAAGAGTATCCACCAACTTAGGTAAAGACGTCCTTTAAATTCTCCGCTCCAAAAATCTGGGAGACTTTACCGCCTGGTCTCAAGTGTCTGCCATGTCATAAGTGGAAGTCCTATCTTCTTACCAACCAAATCTGACCTTGCTTATATGCTCTATCACTGATATTATCTGAGATTTTACTTCCTCTCTTTACTGCTGCCGATTATCTAAACATGACGGTGCCCAACAAGAAAGCTCTTGCTACTTTGGACACTGTACACAAATGAACTTAATATCTTTTAGTTAATTATTATTTATCGGCTACTTTATTTTCCTATCTGCGTACACTTGAGTAAATATCTTATATAGTGTGATATAAATAATGGAATTGAATGGAATTGAATTGGGAAAGTTTGCAATCTGGAAAGACTTCCCCGGTTTATTTACTTTGTTGACTTTATTTATTATATCTATTTTTTCTTAGGGCCATGAAGTTTCCGTTGGTCTTATGCCTTTTGCTCTTTTGCAGTACTGGTCAAGCAATTGGTTAGGGCCAAAAGTCATGAATAATTGTAATTTTGTCGACCTAACTCTAGGATTTATCTTTGGGTAAACAGATCAGATAACACAGAATCCGATCGTAAAAGCCTCGCAAAGAACTGAAATGATGAAAGAAAGATGGAAGAAGCGTGAATGAGAGGCATACCATGATCCTAGTCACTAAATGGAAAAAATAAATTGACTTAACGAGAGGTTTGAAGATTTAACAGCAAATGCAATTTCCAAAAAAAAATCTGAAGAATTGGCAGATTAGGGAGGATTTTTTTAGCTAATGTATTTACAAGAATTGCATGGCATAACAAATAAGAGGAAATTACCTTGCATTGTACGTTGTTGCAATTAACATAAAACGGTGTCAGATGAACCTTGAACTGAAAAGTATAAACTGGGGAATAGGCCAGTCGCACGATGGCGTCATTTTACCACTACGACTAGAATCCGTTTCGTTTTTCTTTTCATTTTTACATTTGGTAATCCCAGCGAGGTTTAAATAAAAAAGCCCCAAATTGCACTAGAAAGCAATATCTGAAGGATTCTGGTCGTAGTAGTAAAATGACGTCATCGTGCAAATGGCTTGTTATATCCACGAAATATTAAGTTCCTTTTTGGTGCTTTTTTTTTTTTTACTTCTACCTACAGTGTATCACGTAAGAGTAAGAACCTCTCACTTTGCTCACGCTGACACGGATGCAAATGTACGGATCAAAATACATGGCAACAACGGCGTCACAGATCAAATACAACTGGATAACCCAAACAGAGATGACTTCGAGCAGAGCAGGTACCTGACTTCCTCTATTCAGTCTTCAGGGGCTTATGGAGCGTTTTTACTCACGCGGCTAACAGCCATATTTAAAACATATTGGTACAAAAGAAAGCGTAAAAAAATTTTTTTAAAATTGTAATTTGTAATTTGTTTACCCACGTAGCACTT